TCCGAGTATTTCGCACACAGCTATACTCAAACGCCAACTAAGTGTTTTGCACACAGATACACTTAGCAACTACGAGTGTTTTGCACACAGCTACACTCACTAGAGTATTTTGCACACAGCTATACTCTTTTTACAATTACAAATACAAAGGCAACTGTATCTCTCTTCAACTAATTTTGAGACTATTCAGACTAAGTCTCTCTTCTAGATTTTTCAATGAATATTTGAGCACTTGTATTTCTAGAATTCGCACTTGTTCATCTGTGTTGTATCTTCAAGTCTTCATGGCCTTTTATAGATAATCAAATATATCCGTTGGAGTGGGATATTTTGATTTTTGAAGTTTGAATCTTGTAGCCTGATATTGTTGACAATGGTGGGTCTTCAATTTGATTTGATTGTCAACTTGCCTGACAAGATAATATTTTATTTCAACTTGATTTTTAAGTTGTTTCTAAAATATTATTTTCCTTGTCTATTTTGAAGTTCCAACGTCTCTTTGCAATAAGTTCTTCTGATAGAATTTATTTCTAGGATAAGATTTTTATCCATGCCTTCATAAATTTTCAACCGTTCTGATCATATCTTCAGGCAATTTGGATTCTTGTGACATGTGAGATGTACCAACATAAATTCTTTCGAATTTATCTATTTTCTGATCATCTTGCTTCTTTGTCACATCTTGCTCCTTTGAGACGCATTGTGCTTAAAAATCAGATCTTGCTTGTTTGACTTGGTATTTCTTGCTTCTTTGACTTGCTACATCGTGCTTTTCTGATTTGGCTACATTGTGCTCTTTTCGCATATTGCTTCTTTGACTTCAACACAGTGTGCTTGTTTGACTTGAGGGATTGTGCTTCTTTTTGAGACATTGTGCTCCTTTTGAATTCCGGCTTATAAAAAATAAATCATTTGGGGGAATTGATCTCAGGTGTGATCGTTGTATGTAAGGATTTCTACCTTTCATCATTAAGCTCATCCAATTATTCTTTGTAACGCCATTGTTTAGTACTTCTGTTCCAGATGAATACTTGTAGGACCAAAATTAATTCTCCAAATTAATTTTGTTCTTCATGTGGTAGACTTTCCTTTGCATACTCACTTTGATATTATGATATATGATACCTGTACTAAAGACCTAAATTCTAAGGGGATCTAAAGTACATTTGACTCATCAAAACTTTGTTACAAAAATATTCCTATCACAAGGAATTGTGTTAGGGCATGTAATTTCAGCTAGGGGGATAGAAGATGATAAAGCTAAAGTAGATTTGATTGTGAACTTACCTTACCCTACAAACGTTAGGGAAGTTCGTTTTTTTCTTGGACATTCAGGATTTTATAGCAGGTTTATTTAAGATTGCTGTCCCATTGTCTAAACTATTGCAAAAGGAGGTTACTTTTGAGTTCGGAAAGGAATGTCAAGAAGCTTTTGACAAGCTTAAGGCACTGCTAATAAGTTAGCTTTTGACAACCTTTTGTTGATCAAATGTTAGAAAGGTTAGCTAGAAAATCTTGTCTTTGCTTTTTTGATGAATTTTCAGGTTACTATCAGATAGCCATTGCTCAAGAAGACCAAGAAAAAAACTACTTTTACCTGCCCATTTGGAACATTTGCGTTCAGGCGGATGCTGTTTGGCTTATGTAATGCACCTGGAACGTTTCAAAGATGCATGATGAGTATTTTTTCTGAGTTTATTAAGAGTTGCATAGAAGTGTTTATGGATGACTTTACTGTTTATGGTGATTCATTTGAAGTGTGTTTAAATAATTTGTCTAAAGTTTTAAAAAGATGTATTGATGCTAATTTAGTTCTGAATTATGAAAAATTTCATTTTATGGTTAGTCAAGGAATTGTGTTAGGGCATGTAATTTCAGCTAGGGGGATAGAAGTTGATAAAGCTAAAGTAGATTTGATTGTGAACTTACCTTACCCTACAAATGTTAGGGAAGTTCGTACTTTTCTTGGACATGCAGAATTTTATCGCAAGTTTATTTAGGATTTCTCAAGGATTGATGTCCCATTGTTTAAACTATTGCAAAAGGAGGTTACTTTTGAGTTCGCAAAGGAATGTCAAGAAGCTTTTGACAAGCTTAAGGCACTGCTAACAAGTGCGCATGTTATTCAACCTCCAAACTGGGAATTACCCTTTGAGATTATGTGCGATGCTAGCAACTATGCAATTGGAGCTGTTTTAGGCCAAAGAGTTGGGAAGCAAAGTCATGTCATATACTATGCTTCAAGAATATTGAATGCTGCACAATGCAGTTACTCCACAACTGAAAAAAAGAACTTTTAGCTGTTATTTTTTCTTTAGATAAATTTAGATCTTATTTGCTTGGTTCTAAAGTCATAGTTTTTTCTGACCATGCAGCATTAAAGTATCTTTTGGGGAAAAAAGAATCTAAGCCCAGGCTGATAAGATGGATTTTATTACTTCAGGAGTTTGATTTGACAATAAAGGATCGAAAGGGAGCTGAAAATCCGATGGCGGATCATCTAAGTAGATTGGTAAGAGATGAAGATATACTTCCTATTTTTGAAAATTTTCCTAATGAACAATTATTCCAATTGTCAGGTATGGTTCCTTGGTATGTTGATCTTGTTAATTACTTAGTTACTGGAGCTCTACCTTGTTACATTAGTAAGTCTAGGAAAGAAAAAATAAGAAGTGAAGCTAAATATTATGTTTGGGATGAACCATATCTGTGGAAATTTTGTGTTGACCAAGTTATAAGACGATGTGTGCCTGAAAATGAACAGCAGTCAGTTTTAGCTTTTTGTCATAATTATGCATGTGGTGGTCACTTTAGTTTAAAATGAACTGCGAGAAAAGTGTTCGATAGTGGTTTGTATTTGGGAAAATCTATTTAAAGATGCATATTTGTGCTGTAAAACTTGTGAAAAATGTCAAAAGACTGGTTCATTATCTGATAGGAATGAAATGCCCCAAATTCCTATTTTGATTGTGGAAATATTTGATGTGTGGGGTATTGATTTCATGGGACCTTTTCCATCATTTTGTGGCTTTCAATATATTCTGTTAGCTATTGATTATGTGTTGAAATGGGTGGAAGCAAAAGCCACCAAAACTGATGATTCTTCAGTGGTTGTAGGTTTTATGAAATCTAACATCTTTAACAGATTTGGAGTTCCGCGTGCTGTTATAAGTGATCAAGGGAGTCATTTTTGCAATAAAGTAATTGAAGCATTGTTTAAGAAGTATGGAGTGCATCACAGAACAGCTACAGCGTACCATCCCCAAACCAATGGGCAAGCTGAAGTGTCCAATAGAGAGGTAAAATCCATTTTGGAAAATACTGTGAGCACAGGTAGAAAAGATTGGAGCTTATGATTAAATGATGCTCTATGGGATTATCAGACAGCTTACAAAACTACGATTGGGATGTCCCTTTATCGGTTGGTTTTTGGAAAAGCTTTCATTTGCCCGTAGAGATTGCACTTAAAGTCTATTGGGTCGTACAACATTGTAATATGGAAATGAAGAAGGCTGGTGAAGAAAGGAAATTGCAGTTGCTGTCGAAACGGGCCGGTGGGGCGGGGCCCGCCTAGGCCCGCCAAATCCCGCCATATGGCGGGGGCGGGCTAAAAAACCCGCCAAAATACGAGTCTAGGGGAGGTCGGCCCGCCCCGCCCCGCCTTAAGCCCGCGGGCCTTGGCGGGGGCCCGCCAAATCTTAAAAGTTTTAATATTAAATAAAAATTATATTAATATAAAAAGGCAATAAGTGTATACTAAAATAATTTGGATAGTTTAAACATATATTAATGTATTTGTAATTTTTTAAATATAAAAATAATTAACAAATAATCAAATACATAATGTGTTAATTCATAAATCAATAACGAATAATTTATACAATGTACTAATTTTTTAAAATTTGATTATATATATATAGTTATTGAATTTTAAACTTGATTATTGAATTTTGTTTTGATTACAGTTTACAGTGAACTGTAACCAAAACAAAATGAATGTATAAATATATGTTGTTTTGGTTACAATGAAAACTGTAACCAAAAACTCAATGACTATATATAATTATATATATATATTATATTATTTATTTATTATAATAATTTTATTATTATATATTTGGCAGGCCCCCGTCGGCCCGCAAAGCCCACGGGTTAGGCGGGGCGGGCAAAAAAGCCTGCCAAAATACGGGCTCAAAATATCAAAGCCCGTCCCGTCCTTTTCGCAGGGCGGGGCGGGCTTACCCGACGGGCTAAGCCCGTTTTGACGGCTCTATGTTAAGCCATATTCCAATATTTCATTGTAGGAGGAGCGCTAAATGTTTCTAGCAATTTCATCACAAAAAACAGGCATGTTGCAATTATAGAACTTCTTATGCGAAAGTGATTTTCCAACGACAATGAAATAATGGAAATTTGGTCATAATGTATCTTCATTATCCTTTTCGAGTCCAAACGGTTCCTTATCTACTTCAAGAGATTGGACAACCGTTAATATGATAAGTAAATGATACTTATCCATATAAAACATCTTCAAGATGTTTTTCAACGTAGGCTAACTGGTTACATTCTTTCAAGGAGATACTCGATCTGCAGGTCAAGACAATACTTGATTTCCCAAGTCTTTCATTTCAAAAACTCCATCTTTAAGCATGTGCTAATATTGCGATTTTCATTTTTCTCATTGAGAACATTAAATCCTTCACGGACTTTTCGAAAATAAATATTAGTTGCATATCTAACATTGTTATTTATAGGGCTGTGCATAACCCGTCCGACCCGCGCCCCGTCGTTGTTCTCGGAGCGGATAACCGAAACCGAATAGCAACCCGACGCCCTTTGTTTGGAATTTCCGATTTAATATGTAATCGGTTAGGGTTGGCTAAAAAGAAACTCGATCCGTCCGAAAACCCGAAACTATATATATATATATATATATATATATATATATATATATATATATATATATATATATATATATATATATATATATATATAGAGAGAGAGAGAGAGAGTTGCACTCGGGTGCGAACGACTCGCCCAGGCGCGAAATAGGAATGGATTCTGTTCTTCTACGTGTCCAGATCTAATGGATGAGAAACACTGATTTTTTTAAAAAACGCGGTGGCATTTTCGTAAATAATTGAACATCGAAGTGCAAGTAAAATGTATTACAAGTGCATGTAAAATGTATTATAGGTGCAAGTAAAAATTTACACTGAGCATCAATACTTAGTTGCACTCATAGTTCTAAGTAGTTGCACCTATAATTCTAAGTAGTTGCACACATAGGTATAAGTAGTTGCATCTAGGTGTATGAATGTTTGCGAGTGGTTTTCAGGAGTATTACTACCCGCTGAACTCAGATCAAATGAATGTTAACAAGACAAAATTACATGCACTTATAGGTGAAAGTAGGTGCACATATAGTTATAAGTAGTTGCACTTATAGTTATAAATAGTTGCACAGATAGTTATAAGCACACCCAGGTGCATGAATGGTTGCGGAAAGTGAATGCTAACAAGGCAAAATTACATGCACTTATAGGTGAAAATAGGTGCACTTATAAGAGATTTTACATGCACTTCGATGTTCAATTATTTACGAAAATGCCACCGCGTTTTTTTTTAAGTTATTAGATCTGGACACGTGTCACGCGCTGATTCGTTCGCATTTCCTTCCTGGGCACTTATTCGCACCTGAGTGCGTCCCTATATATATATATATATATATATATATATATATATATATATATATATATATATATATATATATATATATATATATATATATATATATATATATATATTATATGTATATGGATAATACGACGTCGTGTGGGGATTATATATATATGCCTTATATGCGCTAGGGTTTGCTTAGGGCTTCATCTCTCAGCTGCGCAGCTTTTACTTCTCTCTCACTCTCTCACTCTCTGAGACTCAGAGTCTCAGAGACTCAGACTCTTCACTCTCTTATCTTCTCTAAGACTCTAAGTTTCTCGACTAGTCTCAGTCTCTCATAGGCTTCGAGGGTTCTGTAGTTCACTCGTTCTGCACAGCCCTACTCTTGAGCCGTGGTGGAAGCCTCAACTCTCAAGCCAACGAAGCCTTGGTGGAAGCCCCTGTGTCCAGACGTATAGTGTCCCTGTGTGGCTGTGTTGATTGCTTGAAGAGTGAAGTTGATGACCTAGTTCTCCGGGAAAATATTGGAGAAAACAAGTAATCGAAAACATGTTTTTAATACTATTTTTTTAGGGTTCTTGTGTAAGTTGTGTTATTTATGATTGATACTTGGATAGTTTGTGGGGTTTCTGTATATTCTGATTATTTGCATTATTCTGCGATTTGTGATGAAATTGTGACTTTGTGAGCCCTAATTTGTACGTGAGTCAGTGAGTCACTGGCTCACTAAGCCCTAATTTTTGGGGTTTTCCATATAAATGGCGAATTTGTCAAATTCCTGATATATGGTTTCATGTTTATGGTAATAGAACCCTTAACTTTGTACAGACTGTATATATGTAATTATGTTACATATTGTAGTGGTGGAAGCCTAAATTTGATTAATGTGATTATGGATTTTATGAATTATGAGATTGAATTGTATTGTGTATTTGTGTTGATTGTATGAGCAGTTGAGCACAAAGCCCTAAACCTCCTAAGTCCTAAGGCAGTAAGGTTTGGGCAATTCCATTTAGATGATGATTTGAAAAATGCAAATCTGATTTATGTATTTAATGGTGGAAGTGTAATATGTAATCTGCTAATCTGATTGACTATGTTCTATACTTCTATGTATGGTGGAAGCTTTAATCTAAAATATGTTGTAATCTGTTACCTGTTTATGATTTGTAATCTCAAATCTGTTTCGTTGTCTGCTTTATTTGGATATATTTGTTTACTGATGCCCATCTTTATAGATGGAAAGCATCAATGCATCTGGACACCCTCCAACCTCAACTGAAGAGGAGCATGGAGTATAAGCTCCAGGTACTGAGAGAAATCCTCAGACAAATCCTATGCCTTCTCCTCATGTTGTTCCTACAAAGAAGAGGAAAGAGGGTGGAGTCTAGATCCAAAGTATGGGATCATTTTGAAAAGATCCGTGATCCTGTAGGTGATCCTGAGGGACCAGTAGTTAAGCGCAAATGCCTTTATTGTGCAAAAATTTATAAATGTGAAAGTAAAAAGCATGGCACTTCCTCATTGAAAAACATATGGTGGCCTGCCTCAAAAATCCTCATTCTAAGGATACAAGGCAGTCTCTTCTCACCTTTAATGATGTTTATACCTCTGGAACAGAAGCTTCTGAGGGGGTTTTGGGGACTTGGGTTTTCAACCAAGAGGCTATTAGGAGGGCATTGTGTGAGATGATCATTGTTGATGAACTTCCCTTTAGGATTGTTGAGGGAAATGACTTTAGGAAATTCATTTTAGTTGCTTGTCCTAGGTTTCAAATCCCTTCTAGGTGGACCATTTCTAGTGACATTTACCAGATTTACCTAGATGAGAGACTAAGCCTAAAAAAGTTGTTTAGGGTGAGCACTTAAAGGGTCAGCTTGACCACTGATACATGGACCTCTGTCCAAAGGATAAATTACATGTGCATTACTGCACATTTCATTGATGATCAGTGGAAGCTTAACAAAAAGATCATTTCCTTTGTCCCAATTTCTTCTCATAAGGGAGAGTACATAGCCAAAGCCCTTGAGAGTTGTCTTCTTGATTAGGGGATAAAAAATGTTTTCACTGTTACTGTTGATAATGCCTCTTCAAATGACATAGCTTTGGGGTTTTTCAAGAACAAACTTCTGTCTTGGGGTGGGTCTTCTGTTAGGGTTCAATATATGCACATGAGGTGCATAGCCCATGTATTGAACTTAGTGGTCCAGGATGGGTTGAGATATGCAGGTCCTTCTATTAAGAAAGTTAGAGATGTTGTGAGATGGGTGAGGAATCCTCATGCAAGACTCAAGAAGTTTAGAGAGCTTGTTGTGCTTAATGGGGTGGAAGCCAAATGTGCATTACAACTTGATGTTCCAACAAGATGGAACAGCACATACATGATGCTCAACACTGCCCTTCAATACCAGAGGGCCTTTGAAGCTTATGAGAATGATTCCTCAATGACTGCTGACTTATCTGATTCTATTCCAAATTTTATGGATTGGCTTTCTGTGCAAAGCTTAGTCTATTCCAAATTGTAAACATTTTGTGAATGTGTTTGTATGAATCTGTGAATTGTGTTTGACTTTGATTTTATTTTTTCTGTGTTATGTCTGTTTTTTAGGAAATGGGGTCCCATATGAAACAAAAATTTGAAAAATATTGGGGAGATCCTGAAAAAATGAACTTCTTGATATTCTATGCCACTATTTTGGATCCTAGGGATAAGATTGAGTACATGCCTGCCCAATTTGCCCAGTTATATGGTGATGATAAAGGAAAATCATGCTTTGAAAAGGTTCAATCTTCTATGGTTGTGCTGTTTAATGATTATACAGCCACCTACCATGTGCAGTCTGCATCCCCTACTGTGCAATCTATGCAATCTGAACCTGTCCATTCTCAAACTTCAGTTGGAAAACCTCAGGCTAGAATGAAAAGCCAGCTAAAAAAACAGAGAATGGAGACTGGTGGAAGCAGTAAAGAAACTGAACTCCAAATTTATCTAAGTGAAAAATTAGTAGAAGATGAAGAAAATGTGGACTTTGATGTGCTAAGATGGTGGAAGGTTAACAGTGATAGATTTCCTATACTCTCTAAAATGCCAAGGGATGTGCTGGTTGTTCCCATTTCAACTGTTGCCTCTGAGAGTGCATTCAGTACTAGTGGTAGGGTATTAGATGCCTTTAGGAGTTTCTTAAATCCTAAATTGTTGAAGCCCTAGTCTGTGCATAAGATTGGTTGAGGGCACCCAATCATCCAATCTCTGTTGAGGAAAACTTGGATGATGTTGAAAGATTAGAGAAGGGTACTCTTTTTATTTTCTAACTTTCTAGGTTTCAACTTTATAAATTGTTAATTGTTACAGTTTCTAAACTCTTTTTTGTTTTTTCTTTTTGTGCAGAATTGTCCACTGGAGCTGCTGGTTCTTCACTAAGTACTGTTGGAACACTCCCAACAATTGCTGTAATACTTTTATAATTTATTAGTTTATATAACACTCCTTTCTGTTTAGTTTTATTGCTAAATGTGTGGACTCTTTGAGGCAACTCAGGTAAGATTCCAGAACTGTTAATTGCTAAGTGGCTTGGTAACTTTTTTATAAATGTTGCTGCCCTTACTTAGTTAGATCTCTGGTATTATGCCTTCTCTTGAGTTCTGGTATATCACTTCCCTTCCTCTCATAGTCTCCTTTCTGTTTAGTTTGTGTTTATTATGGCTATGATGATGCTTCCACCATTTGTCTGAATTAAAAGAACTTTGGGTGTTTGGTATGTTGCTCTGAGACAAACTCATGAAGCAATTTGCCCCCAACTCTAAAATGATATATAAAAAAAAAAAAAAAACAATCTGAGCATTTTTTATTATTATTATTTATTATCTTGAGTTGATATGTCATATGTAGACATGTAGTTCTCTTTGTCTTTATTGGCTTTAAGCCTTTAATGGTTCTATAATTGAGCAGGAAGAGGAGGAATGGATGAATGTTGAATGCTGACTGCTGATTGCTGACTAATGTTGAATGCTGAGTACTTGAGTAGTTGAGTGTTGTAAAGTGTAAACCAGTAATAGTGTAATTTGCTTATTGCTGATTTGAGAATTGTTGATTTTGTGAACTTCAATTTTGCTTTTTGAACACTTCACAGTTCACAGTTGGACAGTTGGACTTGGTCAGTTTGAACTTTGAACTTTTGTGAATTGTAATTGCAATTTGCAAATTGCAATATGTAGCTAAATGCCTAAATAGTAAATAGCTTTGGTAATTTAGTTTTAAGTTATTAAGTTTCAACTTTCAACAGTTTTTTTTTTTTTTTGTATGTTGTATAATCCGAATTGAAATCGAAAACCGACCCCCACCCGACGCTATCCGAACAGGGGAAATCCGAAAGGATTTTGTAATAAATTCGAACGGATTGGGGTAGTTTTTCCCAATCCGAAATCCGGACGGGTGGACGGTTCCAAAAACCGAACCGTCCGAACCCGTCCGATGCATAGCCCTAGTTATTTACTGTCAATGATATTAAGTAGCGGAACTTAATGCCATCTACTATGGGAGAATATATTTTACTAAAATCAATTATGGGTTTCTGTGTGAACCCTTGGGTTACAAACTCGCTTTATATCATATCACCTCATTATTCTTATTTCTCTTTCATACAAACACTCATTTATAACCTACTATACGAGGTTAACATTCAATGGCGTACATATTATAAAGAGAATATATCTATTTTAGCAAGTTGAGATATGCCTTAATTACTCATTTATATATTAAATAGTCATGGCACTTCTAGTGCCTAACTCTGGATCTAGATTATCATATAACGGAGTAATTTGTAAAGGCAATTGTGTTGTCGACAATTATAATATTTTCATAAATTTTTTCCATATTTATAATAGTTCGTGGCAATATTTAAGTCAACCAGATTTTAGACATTTCCCAAAGATATTCAGATCTGGTTGTTCCGCATCCCCAGTATTATAATTATTTGGTATACCTATAAGTTTACTAGGGGATTTTCACCTTCTGGACGAATGTCTTCAAGGCATAATTCTCTAACAAATTTTAAGAGTGACAAAGTTTTTTTACTAGATCTAGTATTATGATTCTTATCTCTTACACCGATAGATCTCCTACACTTCTGGCGTCAAGGAGTATCGGTAGATATATTCAACAGAGTATTTGCTAAAATTGTAAATTGATTATCTTTTGAATTTCTAGTTCGATCTAACTAAGTACGTGAGTTTAAATAATGAAGATCTTTCCATTTTATAGAATTTTTTGACATTTCATTGATTTTGAGTTTTTATCTCCCCCTAATGCCCAGAAACGATCTTCATAAAGTATGCAATCAGCATACCTTATTATATATTGATCCCCTATCTTGGGCTTTAGGTATTTAAATAACAGATGGATGTTAAAAACTAGTATATATATATATATATATATATATATATATATATACACCTATTTTCTTGGATATCCCCTAGAGGTATGTGTTGGGCGTCGGTCGAGTTGGCCGAGTTTAGCCCCTGCTCGATTCGAGATGTAGCGTTGTGGCTTATCATGGAGGGATGTGGTTAAATGGTTAATGTCCACCTACTTATGTCAACCAAATAGCCAAAGAACTCTGTGGTTAAGCATGCTTGACTTACTGTAGTCACGGGATGGGTGACCCACTAAGAAGTAAGCATAGTGCAACGCTGAGATCCATCAGTAAGTTATGGTGGTGATACATCAAAATAGACTACATACTAGGTGTATGGGGGAATAATTATGATATGCAATGAGTCATATTTAGATTCAAAATACTAGTATATCAAATTGGATGTTCTTGAAACAAACCTGATGGGGATATGGGACCCTAGGGTCTATTCTATTGGGAAAAACTTGGCCCAATCGCCCAAGCGGGGTGTCCATCTTTATGGGTGAGGTGTTGGCTCAATAAAAATAATGGAATTCTATTGGGCTAAGGAAAGAAGGAAGCTTGGAGCAAAATATTTTTAGAATTATTATTATGAGGTATCAAACCCACGACCTCAAGCATGACAACACAAGTCTCAAACCACCAAGCTAATTAAGATCTTATATATTAAAGGGCAGGAAGCTCCACTTATGCATGGGAATGCGCTGGAAGCAAGGTAGTGGGAGGATACGTGTGTAGTCTAGAATGAAGGCTGTCAGATGCCGTCCATTTGTCAACCATCCGTGAATCCCTCAACAGTATAAATAAGCATCTTCCCCTCCCTTTTAAAGGCACCCCTTGGCTCACCAATCCCCCCTCGGTTCGTTGGTTTGAGTATTCAACACCCTGCTGGCACACCAGGGTTCGAGTCCTATTGTCATTATGGGCTTGTACCTCGGGCTTTGTACGTACTATTTTGGATCTAGCGCCCCGGGTAATAAAGTTATTCTTTGTCTACCTCTGTTCTATATTTCTATATCCGGTTTATGGTGGACCCGGTCCCAATAAAACCATCAAAACCAGATAGCTTAGAGACGGATATTCATGTCGATATTTTGTTGCCAGTCTTTATTGTTAGAGTAGGGGTGTAAATGAGTCGAGTCGAGCTCGAGCATGGGTTGGCTCGAGCTCGACAATTGATGCTCGAGCTCGAGCTCGACAATTTTCGAACAGCTTGAGCTCGGCTCGAGCAGCTCGATTGTTCGAGCTCGATTTTGAGCTCGAGTTCGGGCTCGATGGGAATCCGCATAGCTTCGTCCGTTCGTCGGCAATAGCTTCGTCTGGTCTCGACTAGTCGACTATCGGGCAACACTGCAGCAGCTTCGTCAGTTCGACATCGGCAAAGGTGGAGAGTGGAGACAAGGATTGCCGTCGTCGGTCGGCAGTCTTCCGATGTCTCCGTATCTCGTCTCCGTGTCGTCGTCGTCGACAGTCTTCAAGACTCCAGAGTTAGGGCTTGGGAGGAATGGGGGCGGGAGTGCGGGAGTTCGAGAGTGCGGGAGTGAGGGAGTGCGAGAGTACTGGAGTAGGTTAAACCTTAGAAGGGAGTAAAATTTTAATTTTTAATTTTTAATAATAATAATAATAGTAATAATAGTAATAGTAATAGTAATAGTAATAGTAATAGTAATAGTAATAGTAATAATAATAATAATAATAATAATAATAATAATAATAATAATAATAATGATGATGATGATGAAGTATGTTTACTTCATCCCGAGCATCGAAGAAGATCTGAACCTTGATATGCAGTTCAGGTTAATGGAGATATTATCTATGGACAAAAGAACCGCAATAGAGTCAGACTTGGGTAGCAAGATCATTAACAATATCAAAGAAGCTTCGGGTTCTCCAAACGAATTCAGCTTCAATCTTGAAAAACAGTCAGATATTCAAGTTTCGTGTAGCATTTAAAATTTGTTTCATTGTCTGTTGGTCCCAAAGGGGGTGTGGTAAAAGTCTAGGGGGGGGGGTGAATAGACTTTTAAATATTTTCACGAATACAACAATCGCTAAGGCAACAGAGAAATTAAGACTCTTAACTAGATTGTTAGAGTCTTGTGCACAGCGGAATAATAAAGTGTGTGTGATGAATGTGTCAAGTATATCCACGTGATAAGCAGTAAGTAAATAAAGCAGTAAATGACACAAGGCAATTTATAGTGGTTCGGAGGTGATGTAATCCCCCTACTCCACTTGCTCTTATCGTCCAAGAGCAATTCACTATATCCACCACTTCTTGGTTCCTAGATACAATGAATTTCCGTGATCTAGTGCTTTGATAACTAAGCCCACACTAATCACGCCCAGTGTCTCCAACACTGCTGCTTCGGATTTCGCAACTCCGTGCTACTTTCACAGGATTTCACAGCTCCGTGCTACTTTCCCCCCGTCTTCCACGATCGGGTCGACGTATCCCGTGATCTAGTGTTTTGGTCACCAAGCACGCACTAATCACGCTCAGTGCCTCCGACACTGCTGCTTCGGATCTCATAGCTCCGTGTGACAATCCAGGATTTCACAACTCCGTGCTACTTTTCGCCCTTCCTACACTCCCGTAGGAATATCACTTGTTTGTAGAAAAACAAGTTTTCACTGGCTTCCAACTTTGAGACTTCTTGAATGGATCTTCAATATGTAGCAAGTCTCTCAATGATGAAGATTTTAAACACTCTTGAATATTTTCTCTTTTGAGCTCTCTGGGTGTTTATCTCACTTAGATATTTCGTATGCTTTTCTCACGTTTTGAGCTCTG